GTTGCGCGAACTGGAATGCGGACACGAACGGTATTGCGAGGTCTATCGAAGGGAAGAAGCTGTACACGCGCCTCTTCGCGGAATGCGTGGTTGCAATCCCTGACCTTCAGAACCTCATGGTGGACGTCAACAACATCCAGGCCATGATCACGATTATACGGGAGCTCGCGTATTCTAAGCTAAAGAAGGAGCTCTCCCACGTGGGCTTCGTGAGCATGACAGTGGATCAGGCAGCACAGTTCTACAACAACGGTCACGGGAAGCAATTATGTGCATCCCGGGATGTGATCGTGTGCAAGAATTCCGAGGGAGTCGAGGAGAGAATGTCCATCTTCATGATAGACAAGGATCTCGGCAACGTGGCCTATTCCTCCTGGATCAAGAGCGTGCTCGACCAAGGGACGATGTATGAACTCCTAGGACAAACCTCAAACGAGGAATCCTTGGGAGACGTCGTCGAGATGGTATTGGGGTTCTTTGAGGTGATGTCGTACTTTCAGCACGAACTGCCACTGTGGAAGGATGTGTGGAAGATCAAGAGGGAGTTCGAGCAGTCAATCGTACGACACCTCGCCGGGAACGTGACCCACACGACGGGCCAGAACCGAAAGCGGAACAAACCTTCCGCACAACTCGGGGCGCCCACGAAAGAAGTGCTGGACATCATGAACAAGGCTAAGCCCAGACACCCGCGATCCCTGATAACCGAGCCTGCTGCCCAAGGGTCCAAGAGAAAGGCAACGGAGGGCGAAGGTGACGGTCTTGGTCAAGCACCAGACCCGAGCCGAAGCTCTCAGCCCAACGCTGAGAAGGAAGAGAAGAAGCAGCGAGTGATCGACGGGCGGAGAGCGGCACTAGGATTCCTGGAGTCAATGGAGAAGTGCATGGGAGAAATGGGAATCTGTAAGAAGTGCGCGAACCTGGCCCACGACGGCGACTGCAAAGACATTGAGGAGGCTGCTGGCAACGAGAAAGCGATGAAGATGCTCCGTAAGCTACTCAGCAGTGATCCCGTGTCATCGGATGAAGATATGGGGGATGCGGAGGAACCGCCCTCATCGACGTCCAAAGAAAGAAAGAGAGGAGGACAAGCAGGGAAAGAAACAATTGAGATGTATAGCTATACCATCAACTTGGTGGAGATGGCTGACACGGCAGAGGGAGGAGAGCTACAATGTGGTGGCGTGGACCTCACCTACAACCCGTGCGGGGACAACAGGACGTTCAAGAAGACGCTTGAGATGGGATGCGACACCATCCCGTGCTACATCCCGAAGTACGGCGACGTGAGTGATGTGCACTTGCCATGGGCGTATGCGTCCATCGTTGACCCCAAATACTTTCCCAAAGGTGCCATCCTTGAGCAGGTGGACGTGATGCAGCTTGGCAAGAGTGTCAATTTCTGCGTTGCTCCTTTTGACGGCGCTCCACTGTGCAGGATTGGCGATGATCGCTCGGTATTTGCTACGAAAGACCAAGCAAACCAGCTATCTCATGACCTATGCCGAGTCCTTCGACACAAGATCGGCAGCTGCCGAGGAAGTGCTTTCAGGTGCGACGAAGGTGGATGGGTCGACATTGATGCAGTCATTGACGACCGGAACAACGACATATTCCCGCCAGGCACCTCGAGAGCGAAGCGATACATGGGCATCATGGAGGTGATCAAGTGGCAGGAATCTGGAAGCAAGAAATCGAGATTTCAGGTCCTGGCAGCAAGGTTTCCAAGCATCATGAACCCGAACGACACCAAGGCGGCCAGGGAGGAAATGACCAAAGCTGGCATGGATCGGGACGACATCGACAGGATGTTCAACAGATGCGATGGATGGTACAGACCTTGGTGCATCCGAGTCACAACTGGTCACAGCGATTTTGGATTCATGAGCTCATCCGCACTGGCAAATAGGTATTCCGCAAGGATGGGTGATTCTCTCGGAGGAGCATTCCATGTGACGTATGTGGAAAATCTGCCAAGCATCGTACGCTGTGGGTTAGTCCCCGGCGGAATCGATGGCGGTAACAGGCTAGCACTGCACTTCGGAGCGTTCGCTCCATGGGATGAGATGAACGTGGCAACGAAGGTGACGCTGCGGAACGTAAGGAAGGGGGACCCGATTGCGATCATCTACATTCCCAGTGCAACCCTCGCGCGGTATGGAGCTGGAGTCGCGGCAAATGGGACTTTCATGGTCTTTGACGTGGTCCCGTTCTATGAGGTCAAGTCCATTTGGATTGGCAGAAGCAACGGAGGGAAACGCCTGGAGTACGTTGATGTCAAGAGAGCGTACTCGAAGTGTGTGGAGAACGAGATCTGCCCTGGCTTCGTCAACTCATCCCAAGAGTCGGCTGCGATGTTCCTCCAGAACGTCACAAAGATCAGCGAGAGGATGCCCGAGACCGAGACAGGTGCCGATAATCTGCACTACATCAGGGACATGGTTGATCGTGCATGCGAACTCTATCGGAACAACAAGATGGAGGAGTTCAACGCGCAGGTCAACGAGGTCAGGGACGAAATCAGCAAAGTCGTCATCCTGAATGATGAGACATGGGAGGGACTGAGATGCCGGATATGTCCATCGTGTGCGACCGCGATCCCCACATGCTTCTGCTTATGCCTGGAATGTGAGGCGCAACTGATCTCCACCGGGAGGTACTACATCCACGTCAACTCCGACGATGAGGAGGACAATCAAAACCCCAACGTCTCGGGAGATGCCAAGCGCGCACAGGAAGAAGCTAACCACGGTGCGGCGGCACAGGAGGATGATGACGAAGCGGAGGAAGTTCCGGGAGAAGAAGACGACATGGACACGCAAGGATATACATCCGGATATGCGTCAGAAGAGGATGACAGCGGTTGGTATTACCGCGACACTGATCTGACGTCACGGGATATCATAAATTCCCAGCGGATGGCGATCTGCCTTGACGAGCCGCGTGAGGCTCAGTACATGGCAGGGTTTATCGCACTCCAGATGTCCAAGATGTGGGGGATGTTCGAGGGTGGTGAGGAGAGAACGATGAATGCCCAACTCGAGGGGAGACCGGGCTGCCCTTACCACAATGACTTCAAGAGATACCCCAACATGACTGAGCATGATCAGGAAGGTATACTTTTGCCATCAACAATAACGAAGATTTCTCAATCGGAGAATGTTCGGACAAGAGCCTTCCGATCGGTTGAGGGAGCGTGACGAATATATTCGTATGATGGTGTGCAAATGCGAGGGACTATACACATTCTACAAGCTGTGGATTGCAGCGAGAATCCTCGATGTCACCAAGGACGAAATGAAGCTCCTGGTCAAGGACCGAGTGCACCCGGTGGGTGATATTATTTTCAGATGCTTTGCACTGGCTTTCAACTGTAAGTATATATCATTCGTGAGGGATGGCCTGAACCTTGGCAAATATGGTTACGCGGTCAACGTGAGCGCCATCATCTCGGCCGTCGACCCGAACAAGTGTGACACACCTCTGCTGGATTGGTGCCTTCGGAAAGGGCACTGGCTACCAGAGGATTACAGCAAGAAGTGTGTCCGGGCACGAGAAGCCCAGAAGAACTTGGACGAGGAGTTCCGTCGACGCACTCACAGACTGTCCATTGGGGACCGGTATGCGTAGTGAAGATGCTGATTGCGGCACGATGTGGGTTAGTCCCCATCTGTTGCTTGCGTCTCATCAACACCATTGCGATGGAACGACTTTACATTATGATATGATTTCATGTATCCAAGTTGAATGGATGTGTACATGGTTACATATTCCGACGACTATGACATTCCGGATATTCGTGGATGGAACTATTACCTCATGGATGATTTCCTTTTCATTATTTATGCATTGTCCATGGTATCTGGAATGGCTATGATTTGCATTGATTGCTCACCGATATTTCCTTGCCGGAGATATGCAGATTGATCACGAGCAGGCCCCTCTGATGGACTTTTGTGGCCAACCCATTTATGGATGACAGCTGCGCGATGCGCAAATGCGGCAGCTGGATTGTTCGTTGGTGGTCAAATGACGTGACGATTGTGTATTATATACACCTGCATATGGATGTGTGCTTCGATTGGAGGATGAATGTTTCACTTTTCGTACAATCGAACCCGGCATGTTTCACAGCGAATGAACGGTGTAGTGATAGCAAGTAAAAGAATGCACGACACGATTTCGTAGTTGAAGCCGTGGCCAGTGGAACGTTTTGTGGTGTTTGGACCGCATGATGAACAATGCGACCCAAATGGGGGATGTTAAAACCCTCTAGGCCCCGTGCCGAAATTGGGTAGCTGTTCTGAGGTCCTTGTTGGTGTTGCTTCCCAAGTTCCATTGATCGCCATTTGGCTCAAGACACAATTGAGGTTCAAGATCTGATGTGTGACTGCATACATACGTGATCGGCATTGAGAGCGAAAACTCATTGCTTGCGCTGCATTTGTCAGGACCACTGTTGTAACTATCATTCCTTCTCCCTTACAACGTTTACACGGGTTCGGCTATAACGGCATCGTCCGTATACACCTTTCTACGTGGTTGGTATTACAGCTTGAGGGTTCGGTGCATAGCGTCCCACGGGACGTCACCTTGCCGTCTCTTGACAAACACCAACACCAACAGCAGCAGCAGCGACAGCGACAGCGACAGCGACAGCGACAGCGACAGCGACAGCGACAGCAACAGCAACCGCAACCGCAACCGCAACCGCAACCGCAACGACAACGAAAACGACAACGACAACGACAACAACGACCACAACTTCAACTCTTACATGAGGAGCACCAAGCGTGTCGTATTCCGCCAGTTGGACTTGTGGTTTAAACGAGCATGTTGTAGGTCGCTTTCCAAAGGGGTACTGTGCGAGAGAGGGCCGGAGAAGCAGAGTTGGGTCAGCCCCTTTGAACATGCTTGAGCCTTGCATGTTGACAACAACTGTTTGGTTTCCCTTGAGCGGGGCGGGGGTGGCGGTGAAAAACAGCCGGGCAACGGCTTAGGCGTCCTGGACAGCACAAGCCGCACAGGCGGCCGGGAGCCCCCAGATCCCTGGGCGACCTGGCAGTTTTTGTTGCCTTCTTGCGACTAACGACTGGCGACAGGGGGGAGGCAGGAAGTGAGGCCCCATCTATCACTTCTCTCCTCTCTTTTCCTCACCATCATTCACTCTGTTCGCTGTTTCTCCCGCGGCTTTCCTATTGGTTTCCCATTGGTCGCATGCTTGCGGTGCTTCCAGGCCACGGACGCCATGGCTGCGAGGCAGGTGAAGCCTGAGGCGCGGCTGGGGTTGCCATTGGTTTGGTGTTTTCGGGGTTGGAAAGTGCCCTTTCCCATGCGAAATGAAGACATGTTGGCCAAAACAGTTCCTGGATGTTCTCTGTCTTGCGGCACTTGTGCATCCAACCGGGCAGGGCGGAGCAACCGCAGCGTGCCCCGGCTGCAGAGAAGAGTCATGACTCATGACAGTCTAAATCAGCAAAAATAAAGTTGATTCAGGCCGCTGGCAAGCACTTGCCTTAGCGTGCGTGCTTGATTGCTCGGTGGGTTGATCAATTGGTTGATTGGATGGTTGGTTGATTAGTTGGTTGACTGCTTGGCTTGGGTGACCCTGCCGCATGTTGGTTGTCTCGCAAGTGCGGGTTGTTCGATTCGCGGGCTCAAGCTTCTCACACCCCCTGGAGATTACAGCTCATGTTCTGCCAGAGCCATGCCGTTCCTCTGCGATTTTTTGGGTGTCGACAGCCTGCTGAATGCATTGTCATACATGAATGCCGCACACCCAGCATCGGAGCTGCATCGCTGATGATGATGATGTTTTTCAGCTCGACTCGCCCGATAAGGCAGTGACCCTGGCGAGGATTGCCTGCACCAGCCGCATGGGAACGGTGGCAGCACATGAGGCGCGTTGCAGGGCAACTGTTCACTTGGTCAGCTGAACAACCCGAAGACGCACCCGAATGCGATCAATGGCCGCAACATCTTTGTGGGTCGGGTTTTTGGCCTTTTCCTGTCCAAGGCCTAGGTTTCTGGGCAGACTTTGGGGTCACTTCAGGCGCAGCAGCGGCCCTCGCTGCTTGTGCTGAAGGGCAGCTTGGACACTGTGGCCAAGGAGTTGCGAGAGCAGCTGGCGGCTAGGCCTGGGTTGGAGATGATGTATCGTCACGCTATTGGCCTCTAGTTCTCCGTGTTTCTTTGGGGGCCCGGTGGGTTGCCCGCAGAATTTCTTATGTCCGTCGGGAAAGCAGATATTGTCAATACCTACTACTAGGCTATGCACGTATGTTTATTTGACGTGGCATCGGCGTATCCACACCTCGCAGCCAGCGGCCTCGTGCCGAGGGGAGGTGGTGCTGGCTGGTGAGAGCCGCCGAGTAAACCGCTGCGTGCATCAATTTGAGCACATGCGCTCATGCTGGGAGGCCAACGGTGGTGTTCTTGCAGTACTCGCTTGGTCAGGACGACGACGAGGCCAGCTTCAGCAGGATGGACGCATGCGGGCAGCAGAACGTGCATTGCTAGGAAGAGGGGGAGGCGGCAATCGCTGATTTTGTCAAGAAGAAGCTCCCGCCCAGCGCACAGGCAGGAGGCCTAAATAAGCTTGTTTGAGCCCTCCACATGCTTGGTTTCCGTTTGGTCTTCCTGTATAGCATGTTGAAGCCAACCAAAGGGAGGTCCCACAGCCCTCCCAAAAAATGAAGGGCAGAGCGTCCGGCGGCTGTTCTTGAGGTCCTGGGAGGCCACACCATGTCGTTGCAGTGTGCCTGGTTTCCGAAAGATGCGACGCGGCAAAAGACCACGCCGGCAGCTTAGAGACCAGTCGTCCTTTCAGCTGGCCCCATGTCTATTTATAAACGTGTGCAGTGGGCCAGTGGGTCGGTCAACGTTAGCAACTGGGGCTGGTTGGTTCCGGTCCGGTCAAGCTTGTCACTTGAGGTGACGTCGAAGTTGGGAAAGTCATGGGACTAGTGTACGCTCAGGCTTGATTACCGTTGCAAGCACGACCGCTGCGAAGTGGCTATCCTGGCTGCAACCTTTCCGGAGGCTGGTTCCGCCGGGATCTTGCACGGATGTTTGGTTTGATGGGCTTTGGCAGGCGAAGGCTCAGGCTTTTCACGTGCCACCGGCGACTTCCAGAGACTCTGATAGTGAGGACGAACCCAGGCAGCAAGTCGCTAACTCGCCAATTGCCCATGCAGGATTCCTATTCAGAGGATGAGGAGCTTGAAGATATCAGTGCCCGGGCTGAGCATCAGGAGTCCACCTCTGCATCTCGGCCGGAATGAAGCTCTGCCCCCAAGCCCTTCACGGCAGCGGCATGAGACAATGTGTGACGCAGGTGGCTGCCTGCGAAGATGATGCTCGGAAATGTGGCTACCCATCTCAAGGTGGGTGTTTTCTGTTCCTTCTTTTTTTTTTTTTTGGGGGGGGGGGGGTGGTTTGAAGCATTTAAGAGAGAAACGCACGGACACAGGGCACTTTGGTGGCTTCAACCGCTGCTGCCCGGCAGGCGAGTGCCTGCGAAATTCCACTCGTGAGGCACATCGGATCCTTGGAATATTTTTCGGATCTCGGCAAGGGACAACGATTGACAATGAAGGCTGGCCCGTTGCCCTGCCAGGATGAAATCAGGCAGCTACTGAACATCACCCCACCGCCAAAAGTGATTGTGATTCATCATGCTGACCGCACTGGCCATCTCATTTCCAAGATGCAGGACAGCCGTCGGACGAAACGTGTGGTGTCAGCTTTATGCACTGTGAAAAGCATGTCGACGTGCAGGCTGCATACCCAGAAGCAGCCATCATTGGCGGAGTGGTCATGGGACGGCGTGTCTTGGTCAGCGGTGCTGGGCAAGAGCCCCTTGCCAAGAAGGGGATTGGTGCGTTGGCCATCTCTGGCAACGCTCCCTTGTTTGCAATGACGTGCCCATTTACCGGATGCGCGTCTACGGCTGAGAAGACTGTGGCCACTTGCATGAAGCGTGCACAAGATACAGCAACGGAGAATGGCGAGTCTATATTGGGCGCGTTGCTATTTACCTGCAATGCGCGGGGACCTCACGTGTTCGGGTCTCACGCGAAGGATGCCAGCCTTTTCCAGGCTCGGCCTTGACAATCATGTCGAAATTTTACTGATTGTCTGATAGTCCCCTTTGCCTGTGCCAGGAGCAGTTTCCACAAGCTCCCCTGATGGGCTTCTACGCAGCAGGTGAAATAGGCCCATCTGTTGACGAGGACTCAGATCACGCTTTCCTTCGAGGCAACGCGTGCTTGCAGGCCGGTCGGGCTGTCTGAGAGAACAACCCATAAAGGCAAATATCATTGTCCAAAGAGGATTTTGGGCTAGAATCCAGTCAGCATTTAAAGTTCGAACATCCACTGGGCATAGCTTGCAATGGGCTTGGGCACTTCGCACCGCTCGGTCTTCGGGATTTCTTTTCGAGGGCTTCACCGCTGTCTATGGGCTCTTCCTGGTCCCGTCCAAGCGGATTCCGTCCATTGCATTTCAGCGCGCCATGCTTCATGGGGAGGCACGGCAGGGGATTGGGTTGGGGTTGGCTGGGTTGTCCCTTGGTGTTGGAGCGATTTGCCATGGTGCAAAAGCAAAGATCAACATGGAGGTCTGCCAGGGCAAAAGGCATCAGAAAAGGCACGTGGTAAGCATTGGCCATTTTTGTTAGGAGCCCCATTTCTGATCGATCCAGCACTTTTTGACTAGGAGCCTTCATGCTGCGATTTTGCGTTTGTGTTTGGAGATGTGGCTGTGCCCGGTGAATCGTATGAAGGTGCCTGTGATCGGCCTCAGGTGCTGGAAGCCTTCAAAGACACTCAACAGACCTGAGCCACTGCTCAGAGCATTTGAGCAAGGCTCTTGTATTGCCATCCAGCGGCACAACCCTGTACATATATGGATGCCTCAGGCAGTGTTGAGGGGAAACTGCAGCCTAGCTCGGCAGCAGTTGTTGTCCTCTCAGCGTTCACACGGCTAGGCAACTCTTGTTGCTTCGTAGTTCGATGCGCGGACATGAGCGATTTGCGCCATGTAGCCTGCAGCCAGATGCCCATGAGTAGATGAGAAAAGCCCTGAACCCAAAGTTGGTCTAGCGTTCTGCCGGTTCTTGCCAATCAGCGTTATTTGTGAGGGGGCGTTGCTCAAATGTCGGACTTTCTAAACCTCTAGGATCGGCTCCAGGCGAGTGGGGCGATGGAGCACCCGATTTTGCCGCAGCCTTGGTGCGCCAAGGCGACCTTTCGACCTTTTGATGGGGCTTGAGCAGAGATCTCGCAAAGGCTCAGCGGCGTTTCAGAATCGATGGTTGAGTGTTCCCTGAGGGAAACATGTGAGAACTCTGCGGAACACGCTGAGCAATGCCCACTGGTTGTTCTTGTTAAGTACTAGGGTTGAGAACGTGTTCAGCAACATTTTTTGTTGTTGCCTGGTAATCGTTCTGACATTCATGCCCTGGATGCCTCCAACGCACCTTTTAGCATTTGTCTCGGCAGCCTCGCACTGGCCCTGGTAGATTAGTTGGCCCAATCTTGTGTTGTCCCAGGCTTTTGTCATGATTTAGCTGAGCCTAGCTGCAAGAAACCATGCTGGGCTGCGCGCGGGTAAATGGATGGGCTTCGTTCGCACATTCCTTGCATGCAACATCAGCGAAAAGTCGACACTTTTGGTTGGCGATGGTACGGGGCAGTTGTGCTTGAACTGCCTGCCAATGCACGTAGACATGATGCACGAGCAGTCGGAATCTCTCTCCTTGTGTTGACAGAGGCCAATTCATTTGAAACAAAGATGGAGATGAATTTAACTGGCCACCCATATGAAGACTTGCACCAGTGGCCCTAAGTGAACTCATGTGTTGTCCCTTCCGACATAGCCAGCCCAGAAGCCGCTGCAAAGACCATGGCAATTGTGCACTGTCCCGAGAAGAGTCAAACATCCTCTGTTGCGAGTTGGCAATTGTTTTTCAGTGCTATCGGGATCCAAGTGCAAGATTTGTGATTATAATATGTACATCTGTATGCGAGTGCAACCGTATTTGTGCATCATTTTCAGTGTGTGTATGTACTTGGTTTGTGCCCTTTGTTATGTGCTTATTTGGAATAATGCCAGCACGCAGTCCCACCTTTCTGCATGAGCGCTGTGATAGTGTGTGACGTGGATTGAAACTGTAGGATGCCGAGCCGAGCCAAAAAGTAGACAACATGCATCTCATATCGCAACAACACACGGTAGCAAGTCCTGGACTTCATCAGTGATTCACAAGAGAAACCATACTTTGGTCAGAAATGGCAAGCTGATGCGGAAAAAAACACGTTTTTTTAGTGTCTGAGGTGGCTTGGGAAACCGGAGAGCTGATTTCATGCACGGGACCAGCTTTTCGATTTGTACGTTTCTGTATGCATAGACACACACATAAATTACATAAATAAATTAATAAGTAAACAACCAAACAAACAAATAAATAAATGAATGCATAAATAAATCAATGAGTAAATAAATACATAAGTAAATCAATCAATCAATAAATAAATAAGCAAATAAATAAACAAACAATGACGGAATAAATAGATTACTTAATTAATTGATTAGTTACTATATTAATTAATAGATGGATTGACTAACTAAACACATACATAGATAGATAAACACAATAAACACACAACAAAATAAATAGATAAGTAAATAAACAAATAAATCAAACATTAAGTAATTAAATATATTTCTATGGTGTAGCGCCCCTAACCCCCCAACCAAGGTCATAGCTCGTACAGGTAGCCCTGTGTTCCTGGGTCGTGGCGCGGGGTTGGTTTAGCATGGTTTTCGGGTTGGTTTAGGACTAATTCAGCAGAGACACAAAGGGACAGAGCTTTCGTAACCAATCGCGATCTTTCGCAGAGTGCCTGAGGTTGTTTGGGGTGTCAAAAATGGGGGAATCCCCTAGATTGGTGGATTTACTGCTGGTTCCTCTGAAACAACCCCAACACGAACACAAGTCCTCTTGGCCCCTTGGCTGAGGCTGAGCGGGAATTCCTCGTGGACAACAGGCAGCTCCAAGCGCTCACGCCAGGCTTTTTGGCTCAAGAAGGATGCAACCAGTTGGTCAAATGGCGGACTCCTTCAAAGGGCCGCCCCTAAGGTGCCCGTAGATTTTTCTGTCTTAGGGGTTGTGCGAAGTCACAAAATCCTAGCATGTCAGAGAGGGGGCTCAGCAAAAATGCAGACCCGAATGCAGACCCGGTCTGAGGTTTGGGCTACCGGAGGATTGGGAGGGGGGGGGAGGAAGGAGTCTTGACAGCGCGGTGCAAAGAAAATCTAGGCGAGGGCTGCTGGCGTGGCGCGCGTGTGAAAGGAGCAAGTCCTCAGCTGATAGACTCCAAGATGCATGGGAGCCGGAAGCTCGGGATGTCTGGCATGTCGGGCCCGACGACATCGTACTTTCGGGGGTTTGGGCGAAGTCGAGTTTTCGCCAGGCCCTGGGGCAACGTAGTCAAAGGTATTGATGAAGGAGAGTGGCTGGCACCTGAGTTTCAGGGACCTTGCTCAATTCTCGCTCGATCGGCTTGCGAGGCTAAGAGTCGGCAAGCTCTTCCTCCCAAAAAGGCTGCAGGGCGCCCGGACCCGCCGGATCTACCCCATGGTTTGGTGAAGCTTGCTATTTGCCAAGGGGCGGCATCACCGTGTTGCTGGTGAAGGCACCTTCCATGGATAATTTTCGGAGGGGGCTGGGCTTTTCGGCTGTCTAATTTTGTGCCAGGAGTCAAACGGACAGGCAGCCCCAGCTGCAGCTGCGCTTGTCTTGGCTTGGGGTTGGAGCCTTTCCTTTTGGCGCAAGTGGAGTGAGGCCCCGCAGAGGGTGGAGAATTTGAGCTCTTGGCCAACCTGTGCGCACCTCAAACACATGGGAGGCAGCGATATGGGTGTGGGTCAAAACCAATGGTACCATTGCGGGGTAGGTGCACACCCATTTTAGTCTGTTTTAGTGGGGATTAGGATGTTCACTGGGGGTACGGGATTTTGACCCATGCCCATATCACTGAGAACGACGCTGAAATGAAACTAAGGCTCTGATTTGGATGCCGAGACGCGATCCGGTTCCTCCTTGCGCAGCCATGGAGATGCCAGGAACTTGCAATGGAGTTCACCAGGCAAATGCAGTCGTGTGATGGCCTGGCCGGATGTGGTGCACGCCTTCGCTCAGGTGAACGGGCATGAGACGCCAAGGCCCGACCATGTGACGGATTTAGGCAAGTTGTGATGAGCTCGCCAAATGACCTCATGCGCACACAAAAGAAAAACCAGCTGCCTGCCTGCGCATGCTGCAGGAAGATCGAGGTTTCGGAGCTGTCCACTCAAAGTGCCACGTTTGCTTCAACATGCCCATCCCATGGTCAGAGCCCCGGTGCCACAGGAAGGCTTGCTGAAGGGCTGAAATCCCAGTTGTCTAGGTCTTGCTGGTCAAAAACATGGCTCTTATTGGGACCGTGGTCCCCACCTACGAAAGAGGATGTAGATGTCCGAAAGGGGAGGGGTACATGATTTGACAATCACATTGAACAGACTAGGCTGGCAATACCTCGATCCAAAAGGGAATGCGGGAGCCTTGGTGGCTGCATCGGTCAGAACACGTGCGGGATTTGATAATTGACTCTGACATTTAAGGTGCAGGGACCATTTTCCTTGCCGGACATGCAGAACTGGAATAATAAGGCTCTTTGCAGTGTTTGCGGATTGAAATGTAAACAAGGGGAAGGTGACAAACGACCAGGGCTACTTCCGAGCAGACTTGCTCATGCGATGCCACCCGCCTGTGGCTTAGCCTTGCCAGAGGCATGTAGCAGGTGTTGAATTTGGGGGCGCTTCCACGTGTTTGCTTTCATGTTGGCTTCTTTACAGGGGCAGAACAGATACCCATGTTTTTAGACCTGGGTTTGTGAGCCCTGCTTGTGAGGAAGGATAGCTTTGTGCCCCTGGCCGCGTGCCGACCCAAGACTCGGCGTACTATGCAGTGCCAATGATGGAAGACGTGGGTCCCACGGAAGAGGGAAGCACACCAGGGCCCCTGATGGCGGGTTGATCGATTGAGCATGCTGAGGTTGTTCCCCGCACCACTGGTGCCCTTCCAAAGTCATCCCAGGAGGCCACGACGGCCGCGCGCAAGCAGCCCGCGATGAGCTAATGCTCAACGGGCGAAGTCAACAGACAGAGCCATTCAGAACAACGGCCCATGCCCAATCAGTCACAGCAATTCTTGAGTAGTACCAATTCTCCAGTAGTATTTGTGTTCCTCTTTTCCATAGTGCCAATTCTTCAGAAGCATTTCCCTTTTCCCAGTCACATACTTCCGCACGATGAACATCCACCTTTTCACCGTGGCCACCTGAATGCCTGGCGGCTGGCTTCATGCGCTGGTACGACCTGTTTGTTGGCTAAACCCTTGCTGTCCTAAGCGCGTGCCATGGTGCCATGCCGGCTGCAAGAAATGTGAACATAGCGCATGCGTCTCGCTAGACGTTATGCAGGACAATGCTTAGCTTGCCTGTACTTCAGCTCGCACCCCCACAAAAAAAAAAGAAAGCACGCGCGGGGTGCGGGGGATTTTGAAGGTCGGCATGCACCGCATTTTGTGCCCCAAGGATCAAGAGACCTGAGCCATCACCAGGGCAAGATCCTCGGATGCTGGCAACCAGCCCCGCCCGGGCCTCAAGCAAACAGCCCTGAGCTAATTGGCCCAACTCGAGTTTGAGGACTTCTTGTGACCTGCGCAAGTGTTAAAGCCGGGCTCAGGAGTGTCGATTTGCGGCGTTCTTTGATGGCTCACGTGCAGGAAAAAAAAAAACACCGCTGACAGATGGGAAGATGGGTGTTTTCCAGAATATGGCAACACTGTTTGGCTGGTTGCTCCTCAATTTGAAGGCACAGTGTCCGGATGCTTGCACTGGAGCCAGTGCTTGAGCAGGTTTTGAAAATAGTGGTGCAGGCAGGCCTATCCAAAGCATGTGCACCGCCTTTGGCTCATTGCAGAAAAGGTGGCAGCCGCATATGTTGACTGCCACACCTCAGCAGACATCAGAACTTGGTCAGCTACTCACACGCTATGGACACTTGCTCCGGCAGGGGGAGATGTTAAGCAGCTGAGTTTAGTGGGAAAAGGCCATGGTTTGATGCGCCTCCCAGAGCACCAAGTGGTAAGTACTCCCCTTGAAGTGTGGTCTCCGGTGGGGCCGGCGAGCCATGCTGTAACCCGAGTCATGCGCACTCATGGACGGCACCAGCTTCTGCTACCGCATCGGGGATCTGGCGATTGGGCGGGCGCTGCCTGGTACTGAGAAAAGAAGACGCTAGCCCCACGTCGGGGTCTTTGCGAGATGTTTCTTTGTTCCATGCCCCGCAGCCACACGCAAACAGATTCAGTATTTGTATCGATTGCTCATACGTGTTGGCCCACTCCTCCAACCCAGGACACCACTGTTGCCGCGGTGCTAAGGTCCATCACGCCTGGCGGGCTCTTGGTGAAACTGCCGGGGCAGCCGTCTCGGCTGCTCGAGTGTGGAATCGCAGTTTTGCATGGCCGACGTGAGGCAAGATGCTCCGGCACTCTTGCCGCACCAGGCCTGCCTGATGGATGGCTTTCCGCCGCCTTTCTGTGAGCTTTGGCTAGGTGGCAAGGCATGGGGTCGGCGTGGGTGACGAGCTCTGCGACCTCTTGGCGGCCGCCTTAGCGGAGTCAGATGACAAAATGGTCCAAAGTAACGTGATTTTATCCCGGAAATATGCCTAAATGGGGTCATTTCCCAGTGGGCGTAATCCCAGGGCGCAATACAAAGACCCTTAGACTCAGGGTGCGGCTGAGGTGGTTCAGCTGTACCCCGACGAGCGCTTCGCCAGCGTGGTGGTGCCGGAAGCGGCGGCAGAGGACTTTGTGACTTTGTCGTTGCCGCGCTCGCGGGCCCCTAGCCTGTGGCATGCAGGAGCTCGTTGCTTCTGCAGACGAAGGCCCAATGCTGGGACTCTGTGTGTGTGTGACTTTTGTGATGCGAAAGGCGGTTCGGCCACATCAAATGCGCAGTGCCAAGAAGATGAGACACTTGCCCAAGCTAGATCTCGAGGCATGGGCAGAAATACAAGCTTTGCAGCATGCAACTGTTTAAAACCACACAAGACCTTGTCACGAATATGCTCATAGCCTGGGCCACAGACGCTGGGCGTCAGGAGCCGCCAAATTGGGCGTCGGGTAGAGGGCTCCGTCGCGCGGCTTCCGCAGGCCGCTGGGGCGCGCCGAGGGAGCCGAAGGAGCCCAAGGAGCCGAGGGAGCTGCAGGAGCCGCAGGCGGCGTCTCGGCTGATGCCCTTCTTGGTGAGCAGCCGCGCGGCCGAAGCCGCCGAAGCCCCGAGCTACGCGAGCGCCATGAAGCCGAGCCATGCGGCCACCAGCCGAGCTGCGGTTCCGAAGGACGCGCGGAGAACGAACGAATGTCAATTGGAAGGCATGAGAGAAACAAAGTACCCCATTTCACACCTCCGTGGCTCACCTGGCAACTGTGAAAGGCTGACCTGCTTTGTTGGGATGTGCCCCCAACTCTGCGCAAAAGCTCATTTGTAGCGTGCAGTACCTGGTACCTCTAGACTGCAATTTCGAATGTGACTCGAGCGAACTGCACCTGGCCTTGGAATGGCGAAGCCCGGGCCACTTCCAAGACCGGTTCGTCTTTGGAGTTGGTACGCTTTTCCGGGGTTTGTTTTGGAAAGAGGTTGCCAAAGGGCACTCTCGAAGCGGATCCCAGACAGCGATACTGCCCCTCTCAGAAACCAGCTTCTGGAAATTCCACAGGAAGCTCCTTTTTTCTCCCCTGGGTAGTTGGCCCATTCCCTGCAGAAAAGCACGTGCGCAGCTGGCTTCTGTGGATCCGGTCATGGTCCTCTCTCCGGCGGCCCGTGGGCCCGTGGGCCCGGGCCCGTGCGCCCGTGGGCCCGGGCGCCCCTACCCGTGGGCCCGTAGGCCCGGGCCCATGGGCCCGTGGGCCCGGGCCCGTGGCTGCGGACCTGTGGGCCCGTGGGCCCGTCAGATGGTCGTGAGCCAGAACGCGAAACAAAATTGCAGCCGAAAATGGCGGGGTGGAGCGGCCGAAAGTGAAACCACAACCCAGAAGCAGCCCCAAGAAAGGGAACATTGAGGCTGCAGGGCGTGCTCTGACTAGATTGCCAGATTCGTTCGAAGTTGGGCCCTTGCCCGTGGGCCCGTGGGCCCGTGCCCGTGGCGTGCTGGCCCGCGGGCCTGCGGGCCCGTGGGCCCGTCAGCTGGTCGTGAGCCCGTGCGCCCGGAGCCTTGTGAGTTCGTGGGCCCGCCTATAGACCCGTGCTCCTTCACTGAAGCGGCACCAGCGAGAACACAAAACAAAATGGACCGGCGCAAGCGGAAAAAGATTGCAGCAGGGCGGGGTGGAGCGGCCAAAAATGAAACCACAACCCAGAAGCAGCCCCAGCAGTCCAAAAAAGGCAGCATTGAGTGATGCACGGCATGTTCTGACTAGATTACCAGATTCGTTCGACCTCATAGTCGAGAGACACAGGCATATGTCCTGAGTGAAGGCATTTTGCATGCCAGTTTGTCGCCTATGTGTCTTGGAGCTCCACTGCGCCCGCCCTGCTGCCTCTGCCCCGCGCCTGCACGGCGGCCATTCTGACCACCAGGGCTCCAAGAACTCCCACACCTCGATGCGTGGCTTGACTGAAAAGCGCAGCGCTGTGTGTGCGAGCGCACACGCTGCTTTGCTTTTCTCCGCAGCGCGCGCTCATCCCGCAACGGCACGGGGGCCTGGCGTCTTCCTGGCTTTGCTCCTTGACGCCAGGCTGCTCAACAAATTGCGAGAGGCCAGGACTTCGTGCATGTAAAAGCTGCGTGTCCACAGCTTCATTTGCCGAATTGCAAAGTTGTGCCGCGACGCTACCGAGTTTGTCGTCCCGGCTGCTGAGGAATTGAAGCCCTTCAGCAGGTCACGGTTGGCCTCAGTGTCCGCATCGCAGTGCTCTTTGCACCACTGGTCCTTGTCAATGACATACCTCAGCGTGCGCAGCCGCACTCCCAAACTGACTTGCTGGACCCCAGGGAGAAGAATGCAAGTAGACATGAGGGACAACACAGCCTTCCATCTTTGCGTGGGGACACACATCTGTGTGCGCCACAGGCGCTGCATGTTTGGGAAGGCGAGCCGTTGACTGAGTGGGTTCGCTCCGGCATACTTGGTCGCGTATTTGCGGAGGTGACAGGCGTCATCGTGGCATAGCGCTCGGAGCTCTGGCACTGCCTCCGCAAGCTCCGCCAGGAAGAAATATCTTTGGCTCAGAGCTTCTGAGCCAATGAACTCCTTGGCATGGATGACTTTTCCCGAGCCTGTCGTCGCCAGGAGCCAGCCGCACATGCGCCTGGTCCGCGCATTCTTCTTATAAGTCTTCTTGTGCTCCTTGTGAGTGGCGCAACTTGTAGCGTTGCGGTCCTCAGCACTGCTGCGGCTTGTCACATAGCCATCGACTTCCTTGTTGTTCCAACACTCTTGGAGCAACTCGTCAAGCACGTGGTCTGCGGGTGCCCAGCGGCCTCGCACAGGCTGGCCTCTCTCAAACTCTGCCCGTGGCTTCACGAAAGCCTGGCGGGGCAGAGCATTTTCGAGTCATCAGCACTCTGCCCATCCCTTTCCATGTTCACCGCTGCCCCGTGTAGCCTGCCCACGAAGCGTAGGTGCGCGGTCCACACAGGCAGAGCAGCCTTCGACTGCCCTTCAGCCAGAGATTGTCGTGGCCCATCGCCGAGTCAGAGTGCTGATGACTCGGGAATGCTCTGCCCCGTACCAGGCTTTCGTGAAGCCACGGGCAGAGTTTGAGAGAGGCCAGCCTGTGCGAGGCCGCTGGGCACCCGCAGACCACGTGCTTGACGAGTTGCTCCAAGAGTATTGGAACAACAAGGAAGTCGATGGCTATGTGACAAGCCGCAGCAGTGTTGAGGACCGCAGCGCTACAAGTTGCGCCACTCGAAAAGTCATCCATGCCAAGGAGTTCATTGGCCCAGAAGCTCTGAGCCAAAGATGTTTCTTTCTGGCAGGGCTTGCAGAGGCAGTGCCAGAGCTGCGGGTGCTATGCCACGATGACGCCTGTCACCTCCGCAAATACGCGACCAAGTATGCCGGAGCGAACCCACTCAGTCAACGGCTCGCCTTCCCAAACATGCAGCGCCTGTGGCGCAAACAGATGTGTGTCCCCACGCAAAGATGGAATGCTGTGCATGTTGTCCCTCATGTCTACTTACATTCTTCTCCCTGGGGTCCAGCAAGTCGGTTTGGGAGTGCGGCTGCACGCTGAGGTATGTCATTGACCGTCTGCGCGCGGCCAACCACAAGGACCAGTGGTGCAAAGAGCACTGCGATCCGGACACTGAGGCCAACCGTGACCTGCTGAAGGGCTTCAATTCCTCAGCAGCCGGGACGACAAACTCGGTAGTGTCGCGGCACAACTTTGCAATTCGGCAAATGAAGCTGTGGACGCGCAGCTTTTACATGCACGAAGTCCTGGCCTCTCGCAATTTGTTGAGCAGCCTGGCGTCAAGGAGCAAAGCCAGGAAGACGCCAGGCCCCCGTGCCGTTGCGGGATGAGCGCGCGCTGCGGAGAAAAGCAAAGCAGCGTGTGCGCTCGCACACACAGCGCTGCGCTTTTCAGTCAAGCCATGCATCGAGGTGTGGGAGTTCTCGGAGTCCTGGTGGTCAGAATGGCCGCCGTGCAGGCGCGGGGCAGAGGCAGCAGGGCGGGCGCAGTAGAGCTTACAGGACGCATTCCCCAGAACGTCCACAGCCAGAAGCTAGAAGGTTTCCAACAAACAAACACAAAGGTATGTCTCCAAGCGTGAAGTGGAAGGCGCCTAGTAACCTATTCAAACTTGACGCGCGTTGCTACAGTGGCCATTGTTGCAGCTGTTTGGGGCTGCTTGTCCTCTTTAACATGAGAAGTTCTTATTTCGCTTTCCTTTCCGCACTCAACGCCCGTGTTCCCGCAGCAGTTGAGCTTCAGTCGTCTGCAAAGGCAGCTCCCCTTGACCATGGTTCAAATCGACTGCTCTGGCAACACTTGGGCTCTCGACTGCAAAGGCAACTCCCTTTTGGATTGCGCTGGGCTGACTCTACCTCACCCTGCCGCAATCGACTCCTGCAATCTCTTCCACTTTACCCTGCGCATGCTGCGCCGTTTCGTTTTGTTTTGTTTACTTCTTGCCAGCTCCATTTTGAGTCAAAGCACCCGTTAGTTTGATTGAAAGCAGGCAATCACGCAGCAAGCGAGGCTTGTCAGCTATCCTATCAGGTTCCTGGTCTTGGGGTCTCACCGGTGGCCCAGGCCCGTGGGCCCGTGGGCCCGGGCCCGTGGGCCCGTGTGCCTGTGGGCCCGTGCCCGTGGGCCCGTGAGCCCGTGGGCCCGTGCCCGTGGGCCCGTGCCGGGCCCGTGGCCGTGGAACGGACCATTCTCGTGGATCCGTTGTCCACCGTTTTTGCCACTTGCTTGGCAGGAGGAGCCGAAGGACGACAGCCTCTCGGTGCAGCAGCTCCTTCAGATGCGGGAAGTGATGCTCACCGCGCAGGCGGGCACGAGACGCCCCTGCGGGGCCACTCAGTCAGTTAGCCAAGGCCTTCTGAGAGGCTCCATTTGATGGAAAACCTCTGGTGGCCTGTTGCCCTTTTCATTTGCGCTTCAGTGCTTGCCATAGGAAGTGCTGCATCATTGACGAGTCTGGCGTGTTGGGTATCCAGGAAGCCCAAGCCAAAGCCAAAGCCAAGGACAACCCAAGGGCAACCCAAGGGTAACCCGAGGGTAACTGACAACAAAATTGCCAGCCAACGGGACATCAGCGGGGGCGGAAGAAGCCAGTGTGTCAGGATGCCGGGGAGTCGGCAGCTTCTCCGCTGCCGACGTCTATGCCTTGCCGCGATGAGGAGCGGTCGGGGTTGCCAGGGTTGGGCCAGGGTCCTGTTGCAACCTTCTCCATTGACCCGGACATAGACTGCAGATGCCATGCTTGAGGGGAGAACTGAAAAACAGGTTGAGAGAGGTGCTCAGAGTTTCTCCTGGATTTTTCTCTGAAATTTTCCTGGGGACCGAGGCGGCCTTGGGTTGTGCTCTTCTTGCCGTCCGCGAGGAGTTGGACAGAAGCATGCTGCAGATGGTGATCAGCACCCGCCAGCTTCCGGCTTGGTGGGCCAGATGCTCTCGCAAAGCCGCTGCCTCGAAAAATCCGACTCCCAACATGGAACTGGAATTTCGTTCGCGGGTTGGCGGGGGAGAGGGGAAACATGGCAAACATGGGTGCTTGTGATCATGTTTGCAAGAGCTGCGCCTGCAGGTGAAGCATCAGGCCTTCCGAGTTGCTTGCAGAACGGGCCGCTTGAACATCATGAAGGCCATTTACTGTGCTGCAGCCCGAGTTGGTGTGAGGGGGGATCTCATTGAGTTCTTGTCTTGGTGGGTTGCAGATAGCTTTGCAGCGTGTCGCTCAGGCCGACGGCATTGGCATTGACACTGCCTTCTTGACAGAAACATTAAAGGCCACGATGGTTTGCTTGCTGCGTGAGTTTACGAGGGTGAGTGGTGCAACTTGTGAGCAGGAGATGTGTGCGGATGCACAAGGTGCCGCTGATGTCAAGGTAACCAAGAAACCCAAACGTTCGGAGGATTCGAAAGGAGCGGCGCACATGAGCATTTCGGTTTCGCACCGCTTTCCCCAACAGGAAAATTGTTCAGCGTCAGATCTGCAGCTTGACAAAGGCGATAAAAGGCGTTGCCAGAGGTTTCGCAGCACTCACAGCCACTTGCGAGTCCTCGGCCCCCCGAGTCGTTGAGGAGCGATGGGCCGGGTGGCAGCGCAAGCCACGGCCGCCTGGACGGCGCCCGGGGGGAGCTTCGGGCGAGCGCCAGCAGCCCAGGCGGCAGCCTGGCTGGTGGAGCAGGGGGCGCCTGTGGAGCTGCTGCTGCCGGAGTCAGGACGGTGACGTCCGTCTTGTTTCAGGGTATTACGGGTACCCTTCTTCGAGGGAATCCAAGGGGAAACCACCCAGCTTGAGGGTACCCTCATTCTGCGATAAGGTGGCCATGAGTTTTGGTGTTGGATCTGCAGCCATGGCGGGAGCAGGTTTTGCGCACTTTTGAATCGCAGGAGAAGCCTTCCCCGCGCGACTGCGTGGCTTGAAGATGCTGGCCGAGCAGCGGCCTTAGCGGAAGCAATGTCGCACAAGGTTTCGAACTCTACGTTTGGGTGGTTTCCAAAAGGGGGTGAAGCTAGCAGCCGATTACCGATTGGAGAGGCCAGGCCCATGTTGGCTGAGCACGTGCTTGTTGTGTCCTCATGGGCGTGCAACTCCCACACGTGACTTTAGCCTTCGGAGGCTGGGTCCCTCAATCCGCGACGCCTCCGAGCAGATTGTTGTGGCGGTGGCTGGCTGCCTGCGCGATCCCGAGGCCTGGTGTGTCAGGTAGGTCAGCCACCGCTTCAGTCACGAAGGGGATGAATTTCACGCTTGAACTTGGTCTTCTTATATCGGCCTTGTGTCTGGGTCGCCCCTGGCAGGCTGTGAGTCACATTGAGTCAGATGAACAATCATGCGTGCAAAATTGCTCAAATCATGCCCTTGCCCCAGGTCTCGGGCCGCCGAGCCGCGGCCGACACCTTGGCCCAGTTTGGGCTGGCGGCGAACCAGGCGCCCAGGGCCCTGCCGCGGCTCCTGCGCTTGGTGCAGAAGGCTTGCCGGAGCCGCCGGCGAGGGGGGGGGGGCCCGTCCAGCCAAAGGACTTGAGCTGAATTTTGCGGGTACGCGAAGCCTGGCAGGATGCCAGCCAAACCGCCCTGGCCTTGGGCCAAGTTGCCTTGTGCCATTTTTGTTTGAGCACAGGAGTGTCCCAACCGGAGGGCAATCTAGAAGCCCATGCCACGCGATTATGTTTATACTGCAAGCTTGGCAGGCTTTCTGCTCTGAAACAGAACTCAACCCTGGGCAATCAGTTTGTGCGCTGCCCTGTTAGCATGAGCAAAGCACCTCAGGCAACCCTCTACCGGCGCGCTAAAGTCGTCCCTTTTCTGCGGAGATTTGTTTGTGGAAGTCGTCTCCATTTTCGTGATTACACGGGGCTTGATGCGTCGGTTGAGCCTGCATTTTTGGTTTTGTTGCGATTCCGTTGGACGACTTCTTTGATCTTGCGATTCCATACGGGAAAGCATGATTCGGACGGCGTGGGGTGGGTCCCTGCACCAATCCAAAGACCAACTGGGTAAATCCAACACCTCCACAGCTACCTCGCTACACAAAGCCTTGCCCGGCTCTTTGGCTGCACGGGAGCAAATCAGTTTTCAACATGCATGGAAGTCCCTTGCCCACTCAAATCCCACCACACGTCATCAGGACATTGACCCCAATCCCCAAAGAGAAGGGTTACACAAGCAATCCCAAGCGAGGCACTGGCTGCCAAGCCCACACTCGAAGCATGCCCCTGCAGCCACCTGACCGGGCAAGCCCCTGGCTTGAACCCGTTTGAATATCTATCGTTTCATTTGACTCTTCCGTTCGGTTCAATCAGCTTTGCCCGTAGAATCCCTTCCTGTCAACGCTTCGCACAGCGGGTCGCCAGGATGAGGACGTGGCCGTCCGCGAAGCCGCAGCTCGCGCTTTGGGCTCCCTGGGCCCCGAAGGCGTGGCTGCGGTGATGCAGCTGGGCGGGCTCGATGCCGAGGATGCCGAGGCCTTGTGAATGAGTGGCACCCGTGCGGTTTGAGGGAACCTTTTTTTCTTTTTTGTTTTTTGTTTTTTGGCTGGTTCAAGAGGGAAGCGAAAGCCAAACCAACTTCGAGGGTCCTGAAAAGCACGGCTAGGCGGTTTCAGGCTTAGTGAGAGCCCAAGAAACGCTGCCCACTTAGCCTGGGCTGTTCACAGGCAATTCTTAATCGTTATCTTAGGCTGTAAAGAGTCCCCTGTCAGGGATGAGATGATCAGGATTGGCCAACCCTCTATTTTGAACTGCCTAGCTAGCTAGCAGTTGTTGCTGCTCATTGGCAGGTTCAAGGGCTCGCCGCTCTGGCCCTGGGCCACAGTGGGCCAGCTGGAGCGGCGCAGGCGGACAGGCGCGCAGGTTTCATGTCGAGTGCACCTGAGTGGCTGCTGCAAAGTGCCTGAGCCCAGCCCTCACTTGGAATAGGTAGATGTGGTTAAAACGGTTATGAACTTCTGAACCCTGCTCGGATTCGCTTCCAAGAGGGCGTGCAAGATGGATCCCCATGTCCCACTTTCACGAGTTTTTTGCCGTCTGGCCTTTTCTGAGCCATCCCCAATGCTTCTGTCCAGGCTGGCACAGCTCCTCGAAGGCCGCCAGCTGCCGCTGGAGGAGGCCATCCGGCTCCGGCTCCGGGCGGCGCAAGCGCCGCGGCCCCAGCTGGCAGTCGCAGGGTCGCATGGCTCGCAGGGGTCGCATGGCTCGCATGTCCATGAAGCTGGTCTGCCGTGACAGGGCGTTGTTTTGATTTTCTTTTGGGAGATGGCTGCGAAAATGGCACCCTGAACGAAGAGAACACCCACATGCGCCAAAAGGAGCCCGTGTCGGAAGAGAAACTTCAGCAGCAGTGGCTGCGTCATGAGTCGTGGGAGGTCCCCCATATGTCCAGCGGCACCATGTTCCTTTGCTCATTTTTGCTCTGTGTTCCCGAGAGTTGCCCGCCCAAACGGCAAGCTGCTGCACCCCTGCAGGCCCATGGCCACCCAGCAACAAGCCCCGCGGCAGGTTGGGCGCCAGGGCCGACTTGGCCTCCGAAGCAGACCTGGCGGCACTGGCGAAGGGCTTGCAAAAGGACACGGAGGAGATGGTCCGCGAGGCGCCCGGCGATTTTTTTGATGGGCGTTTTGTGAGGGTGGGCTGTGTTGATTCCTGTCGTGATGGTTTTAAGTTGGTTGTCGTGGGGTTGTGCAGGTTGCGTTGGATGAGTTTGCGGTCGCATTGCATGAATGTCTGACTTGCAATGCCAGGCTTGCTGCATTGCCATCGGGCAGATCGGCCAAGCCAACAAAGGACAGCTCTGCGGACACCTTGCAGGTTGTTGCTTCGCCTTTGCTTCCGAGGAGGAACCTGCAAGGGGGGGCAGGGAACGGTTGGGGGGGGGGCGGTTACTTTCGTGATGAAGACCACTGCCAGGACTCACAACCCTGGCCCGGGTTTCATTGGAGCCTGGCTTGAGCGATGCAGCAACTTTCGTCCAAGAGGCTGCGGCGGATGCCCTCGCCCATTTGCCTCAACTTGGGGCAGAAGATTTCGATGAGCCTCAAAGTGTGTGGCAGTAAAAAGTGCAAATTATGGGGCAGAATGGGTTGGATTTCGAGAAGGTACCGTTAGGTAAAATTGGTTGACTAAGATCGACCGCGGAGCCTATCAAAGGGAATTCCACCTCGAATGTTCAAAATAAAATGCATGTTCACCCAGACGGTGCGCGCATCCCTCAACGGTACACATCAACCAAGAAGTGGCACCGCTGCTGTAGCGCGAAGGGAGCTGGTGCTATGGGGGATTGATTGATCTAGCGATTATGCCGGGCTAACTAATTGAAACACATTAGCTGCCGGCTGCCAAACAATTTCCGAAACATTCAAAACATATAAATTGACTATATATATATATATATAATATTTATACAAATACATGAACTTATTTAATTATCTAATTATATATATATATATTATATGATATATAAACATATATATTTTATTATTTTGATTTTGTATTAATTATATATTGTGGTTTGTTCTTCTTTTTATATTAAAAATAAAATTGAGAAGGGGATTTATATTAATTAATTAAATTATTTTTGGGCTTTAAAGCTTTTCGAGCCTTATTTATGCCGCCCTAAATATTTTTTTGCTTGTTTTTCTTATTCGTTGGATTTGGATATATATTTTGTGTATGTTGGCTTAATTGATTGTAATGTTAATAATTCGGTCCCTAAAGTGTAAGGGTATTGTTAAACAGATTACGAGATATATAATTATGCAGCATAATATATATTAATGTATAATATTGCATAAAAGCACGCTTATTTGCGGGATTCGTCGCGCATGGTTCGTTATATGAATTTAATTTTGAATATCTCTTTTGGTAGTGTTTAGTAAGATTTTGGACTTTATTGATATAGATTAAATTAAATTGAAGCATGTTGGTGTTGGCTAGCGCTCGTCGTTTTTTTAATCGATACAAAGATAGGGAGAACAATTGCGGAAGTGTTGTGTTTTGCCTCGTTTTAGTTAAGAGACTTGAATTTTTTTTTGTTTTTTTCGCCCGCTAAAAATAGGTTTTAGGATATTTGTAAAAACATAAAACAGAAGCAAATTATGATTGAGCTGTGGCTTATATGTTTATGGCGCGTTTCTTTTTTATAGAATTTCCGGTGGTAGTTTATTGAGAATATAGTAATACTGATTTTATGTCGTTAGTAATTTGGTTTGCTTTCTATGAGTTAGTTTGGTTTGCTTTCTACGAATTGGTAAATAGGGAGGAGGGCTAGCCCTTTGCTCTTTGTGGATCACCATTTTGGGGTAGCATGCAATGGAACAATTATAGGGACGTAATTCCAAGAGGCAAATGCATAATTAAGTGGTCATGCATAATTAAGTGGCTTGGGGTCTTAAAAACAGATTCCTTAATTTGCCTTTTTATCCAATTGCAGAATTGCAGCTTTTAAAAAGGCACTGGCGGCAAGCAGACTTGACGCTCGGATTATAGGATTTTAGCTAATATCTAGCCTTCTTTAGATAGGTAGATTAAATGAAAAGAAATAATTTCACGAAATTGTATTTTTTGCTAAGTTGTAGTTTTGTATATTCTGATGTATCTAGTTTGTATTTTTTCTGGCCCCAAGGCTTTTTAGCGTGGCAGAAGAGTAAAGAATATAAAGAGAAGGAGATGATTGGATACGAAAAGAGAATTGGTGAGAAAGAAGAAGGTAGGTAATATATAGGGCGTGTTTCCCCAAGGTGGGAGATATAAGGGGTAAGGAGTTGGACCTCCTTTTTGTTTACTAATTCGTAGAAAGTAAGTCAAACTACTTGAAATATGAGGCAATACTGCGCTCTTAACAAACTACTGCCGGAGATCTTATGAAAAAGAAATTTGTTATAGGCGTAGATTATAGATTAATTAGCTTAATGTTTCGTCTACCTTGGGTTTTTGTAAGTGTCTTGGAGCTTGTTAATGGCGGGTGAAAAAGAAGGTTATGGCTCACTTGGCTGAAATGGGAATTACACAATTATTCTCCTTATTTTTGTATCGTTTTACAGAACGTTAAACATTGGCCGGAGTTAGCATGCTGATTTGGCATGGATTAGTCGCGCTCGAAGACTTGCTACGAACGCTGCTGGGTGGGATGTTTAAATGGGCATACATAGCGACGTCCTGGGGCGTCGTGATGCATCTGAGCTTGCCGGGTGCGGTTCACAACACGCCGGATTTACAAGGCCCAGGCTCGGCGCGCCGGTTTATAAGACTTAGCGCACCATTTCACAAGGCCCGGCATAGAGCATAGGATCGGCCGAACATTATAACCCAATACGCCCAAATAACCAATGTGCCGGGTCTTTTGTTAGACTTAACTCCTCCCCATTGTATAATCGGGCGGGCGAAGGAATTACTTTATTGGGTGATTGGATTGTCTACTTTAAAGATTATAGAACCTTGACATAAATATATATTTTTTATATTGATTTAAAACACAATTCCTTGTTTATATTCTTTGCAGTAAGATAGGATGGATATTTTGAAATAAATAAATATATCTATTTTAATAAATTAATTTAATATATATTATTATATTTGATTAATATTAATTATGATTGAATTATATTAATATATAATTCTTAATTCGATATTTTAGGATATAATTGGTAATTTAGCTTAATTATATATTTATTTATTATTATTTTTTTTAAATTAAATTATTATATAAAATATTAATATAATATAATATCAATGATATATATATATATTTCTTTAATATATTTTATGAAATTTATTTTTGGAAAATTAGGAAATATTTTGATAATTATATTGTGAATTATTTATATATTTTTATATGTTTTATTGCTTTTTGAATTATTTGGGAAAATTCACTATTCAATTGACAATTCGCAAATTAATAGGCAATTTGATAGATCATATAATTTATAAATTGGAATCGAGATAATCGAAACACCAAACAAAAAACAGAATCGGTAAACGAAATCTCGCTTACCCATACTTTAGTACTATCAAAATTAAAAGGATATGGAATTTGGGAACGAAATTGAATTTCTATTTTATTTTTGGAATATTTGGGAAGAACATTTTTGGATTTTTGGTAAAATCGGATATTATTTTTTCGATATTGTGAAAAGGGTTAGACATATGTTAATAATCAAATGCAACAAATAAAACAAAACATAAAACGAAATAAAATAAATCTTAGGGAATATGTTTTTTCCTATTAATAAACCCTAGCACACAAAAACATATATATTTATCGCAACCACTTATATATATAGATTATATTAATTACAATCAAAACAAATCCCATATCGTCACAGTCTAAGAAAACCACGATTTACTTTTTTGACATATAGGAATATAATTATTCCGAATATCTTTAAATTATAAAATTTATAGCAATCTATTCTTATTCCATAATTAATACCTACTAATAATTATTTTAGAATATTTAATATTTTATATTATAATTATTCCCAAATATATTTTATCGAAATTTTATTATTATTACAAAGATCCCTAGCGCCGAGAAACAACTAGATCCCTCTTCGGCATCTTCCAAACCCCATCCGCAACCCTTTCCCCACCTCGAAATTGATCGCGCAGCCAAAATCCCTGCTCCAGCTGCTTCCAGTCCGCCTAAAGCGAGCCTAACAATTTGGGTGTGGGTCAATATTCTGGTGTAGAACGTTCCGCGGTGACGCGGACGTCTGGAACGAGTCAGTTACGCAAGGTCGCTTGTTCCGGACCTCTGGGAGGACATGCGTAGAGTCCTCAAGCACACGTTCATTTGGTGTTTGGTGTAAGATGGATAGATGGATGGATGAATGGATGGATGGGTAGATGGATGGATGCAGCGACTAGGGGCGCGCCGCCATCGTTACCACCCTCGCGTCATTGGGACACCGATGCACTGTAGTCACGCCCGCCACGCGCGCCAGCCGATGCACAAGGCTGGGAGGCGTAAGCCGATATCCACCGATGCGCAAGCCGATGCAGGGTATCCTTAAAAGACTTCTTTGTCTCCAAAGCCCTGGCACATGTCGTCCTTGAAGGCTTCTTGGGTGGCGGGCCACGTAAGAAACGCACTTACAGCATGTGTGTGCATGTGGACTTGGTGGCAAATTTGCTCCGCTGCGTCTGGAACACGTCTGGAACGGGTCTGGAACGGGGTCTGGAACGGTTACGCGAGTGGCTTGCGCTTTGGAATGCCAGCAAGCCGCATGTAAACATGGTCGTTTTAACCGAGAACGGTATCGAACCGTTACCGTATCGTATCGAAAGCGGCGGAATTGTATCGCACCGAACCGAACCAAAGCTCCGGAACACCGATACTCCTGTCTTCATTTATTTATCCTTCTTTCTTGCTCCTTTGCTCCTTCTTTCTTGCTCCACGCCATTTCAGCCTTGGCCATTGCACTTGCACACCCGACAAAGAACAACCATCTAAATCAATACTCTAGAAATAAATAGACATAAACAAGGTATGGAAGAACGGAAGGTCTGGAACATGTTTCTAGGCAAGGTCTGGAACGGAGGTCTGGAACGGAGGTCTGGATCGGAGGTCTAGATCGCATATGGGTTCCGGACCCTGTTCCGGACCTTATAAATTGACTCGCAGCCATTTATATTCCTAGACATTAATCAAACAATTACAAAACAAAACAAATCGCAAAAATCGATCAAACCTATCAAGATTTATCAAATTCTTTCTAAAATAATAAATATATAATATATTGATTAAATTACAAGGAGGTATTTGCAGCAAGGTAGGTTTTAATATTTCTTGCTTCTTTTTTTTAATATTCAATTAAATTTAAAAAATATAATTATTTATATATATTAATTTTAATTAGAATATTAATTTTGGGAAATAAGGTTTTTAAATCGATAGGGAAAAATATGGTAAGAGAAATCGATAAAATCGATTTGTAACCTAGGGAGAATTATTAAATTCGGAGAAAATCTTAACAGGGATTGGATAGATTTAATTTAAGTGTTTAATATTAAAATAAAATATTATAAATAATTTATATTGTTTACTTCGACTAGAAATATCTAGAATATTTAAAATTCATAATAAAAATAAAATCAATTTATGTATAAGTAAACTATTATATAAAATCAACATCATTAATATTCAATATATATCATATAATATTTTTTGTATTCTAAAAATAACCAATTTTATTATTTTTATATAACCTTACCTCAAATCACTCCATAACCCTCGCAAAATCTTCAAAACAAACTTACCACAAAACCAATATAAACTAAATTCCAAAACTATTAAAATACATATATTTATTTAAATTCAAATAATAAAATAAATAAATATTAATCAAATACTCTAACTCAATACTAATTAAATATTCAATAACATCCATCAACAAAATATTATTTAACAAACCCATTAACGAACTATTCTAGAATTTTCAACGAAATTCTCAATAAAATCCAATAACATATTATTCTAAAAAAATATTTGATAAAATTCACTAACAAATTCAACTATATTCATTAACGAATTATTCATACTCAATAACATTCACTAATTAAGAAAATATTCGACAAAATTCATCAACCAATTCCATACTAATGAAATATTCGGCGAAATTCATCAATAAATACTTTTAATAAAATTCATCAATAAATCATATTCATTGTAACAACATATTCGACAAATCCATTAACAAACCAT